CTCATAATTTCTGTCTCGTGTTTCTTGTCCAATTATGAGGCTTGGTAATTAAAATATTGACTGAAGACAATACTTGGAAAAAACCCACTTATTACTTGAGCTTTTTGTTTTAAATGTGTCTAGTTAAAAAGCGATGGCAGCTCTGAATTCTTCAGTCCTTAAGTCAGTTTCGTTTTCAGATGTGGGGGATTCATTTGGGTTTTGATGTCTTTTCATAGTGCTCGGCAGGCTCTCCAGCCACCTAACTAGACACTTGGTCTTCATAAGAAACTGTAGCAAAATTTAATACTAAGATGAAGTTTCCATATAATGAATCAATCTTCCTATGTGAAAAGAGGGTGCTGTCATGCGCTGTGAGGTCTGTTTTTGTTTTGTTTTTCTCCTAGCTAGCCTTCAAAATGTCTTTTAAAGACCAGGGAAATGGTGTCAGTTGGGGAGAGATGTTTTGATAATGTTATCCCAACATTTGAGCCAGAATTTAGTCTCACTAGTTTATATCCCAAACTGAATTACCTGAAATACTTGATGGAATGAGACCATGCACTAATAAGTAAATAAGTATTTTGATGTTATGAACGGCGTTTTTGTTTTCAGACAACAAATTGGTCATCAGAAAACAAATGTGTGTGTTTTCCGGATGTGGGAAAGTATATGGTCAAACCAGAGCATCGATCTATGTTGCTGGAGTTAAACTGAATTTTTATTCAGCTTCAGTTACAGAAATTAACCGGAACTTGCCCATTGAATTTCTTTTGCTAGCCAAATCATACTTTCTTGTCTTAAATTTAGATCCCATTTTTGTGACTTCTTAAATTCACATTTCCTCTTCTAAGTTGCCTTTGTGTTTGCATTTGATAGAAGATTTTAGAACACATTTTGTTTTGGGTGACTAAATAGTAAAGAATCACATATTGTGATTTTTTTTCACATACTTACACAATGCACAATGCAGAAAATCCATTGTATTCGTGAGATAGTGAAATACTAATGTAATAATCATTACGACTAAAATTTAAGTTATTTCAAAGCAATTCGCAGAGTTACTTACTTTGGCAAATAAACTCAGTGGGCATTATAATGATTTGCATTGTTTTCTGTGTTCAGTTAAGATTTTTTTTCTATTCAACTTGGGGAATTTTTCTATAAGCCTTAATGAAAATGCTAAGCAGGTGTTTATTTTTGCCCATTGTTTTGGTTTATGTATGTCACCTTGTGGTCTAGAAGTAAACCAGGATAGCTACTAATACAGAATAGGTTTCTTTTCAGGCTGTGACTCCATCAGTGCTGGTTCTCTCTCCTTGCTGGTTTTCCTGGCTGTGGTCTCTTCTCCCCCGCCCCTTATTTTTAGTTTTATTCTGCCTGGCAAGCACTTTTATTAACTAAGTACATCGTTTATTGTTCTAGTGGAGCAAGAAAGCACCATACCTTTCAAATATGGGTGGAATCAAAGTTTTGGGATTTTTTTTTCCCCCTTGACTAATAACCATAGTCTATAATGGCAATAGTGATTGCTTTAGGAATTAAATCTGTACAACAAATATATTTTACATTTATCTCTTTTATTTTCTATTTTCTATCTCTCTTACTATCTCTAGTATTTTACATATTATCTCATCATATCTACTCTAATGAAAATACGTGGGGACGTATTTGAGGTGAAGAGGACCAGTACCATCCAAGAATTATTCTAATGTAATGGTCTGATACCTTCTTTCCCTTTCCTGGGTCATTTGTGCTTCTTTTCACTTGTACATTCACTATGGAGAGGAGTTTTGTTTCACTATGGAGAGGAGTTTTGTTGTTATAGTCTGGATACTAATCCTTTGTTTATATGTATTGCAAAACCTAATTTTTTTAATACTTTGCCTATGAGATTTATTTATCAGTCTCTACAGCTTGTACTTTTGTCTTTCTTGTTCAAGGAATCCTCGCCATCTCAAGTTATATATTCTTCCAGTAGTTTTAGAGTCTTCTTCCTACTTCCCGAGTGCATAATATAGTGGGATTTTAATCCATCTTGAATTTACTGGTTTTTACAGTATGGAGTCGGGGATCCAGTTTTTTGCATTCCGCTAGCTAATTGTGCCAACACCAAGCCATCCCTGTCACACACCAATTTCCTACATAGGTCATCCATTTCTCATTCTCCATTCTGTTCTATTGTCTTTTTTATCTAACCCTGTGAAATAACGCACCATTTTCGTTACTGTGGCCTCATATATGCTCCTACCTGTTAGGTAGGCATCGCCTTCATCTTTCATAAACTTCCAAACTTCCATTCCTTTTAATAAAAATACGATGAATAACCACACTCCGCTGCTTAGTAGTCTGCATCCATTTTGGCACCTAGTATTGAAAACTGTTCACCCTACCTATGAAAATGAGTGTGTTGCACATTTACACGTGAAGCTGGTGTGGTCCCACAGCGGTCACTGACCCCTTGCCTTCCCCTGTAGGGCCGGCTGGACCGGGAACAGAGCCCTGCCTGCTATGTTGGAGCCTGAGACTCCAGTGAATGAACTCGCTCACTGAAATGAAAAACGCTCAATGAAAAGTTCAGCGATAGCGATTTTGTCTTTATTTAATACCTGATATTTTGTTTGTCATGGTTTTTACATTAGTTTTGATTCTTTTAAATGTTGCGTTCGTGTATTCTTCCTGGTTACTGAATCTTTGGGCCCCAAGGCAAGTATATCACTGGCGGCACCTTAGGCTCAGCTGATAAGTATGTGAATTTCTGGGCTGTTGAAGTGACTGTCTCTAGACCGTTTTCCTGATTTTAGGCAGATGTTGCCAAGGAGGAATAACTCAAGCTACTAGTAAGTACCCTTTAGCACAAAACAGTTCTTCCTGGTGTGCTTAGTGAAAATGCTGGCGAGGCTGGGCTGAGAATCCTGTGCTCCAGCAGCAGCTAGTTGCTATTGGCTTTTCCTCCTTAGGCAGTGAGCCCTCTTAATACTCAAAGAACATAACGCTGAAAGAAACACCAAGTTCTACAAGGATGTCGTTGGACAGCTTTAATCTCCAAAATTTATTCCGAAATGCACTTTTTCATATTTTAATTTCTTTGCGATTGAGAAGCATCCTAGGTCAGTGGCATCTTACAGTTGCCATTGGCTAAGCACAGTTGCATCTGCTGCTTAATGGTGATTCCTATTTCAGTTCCATGAGTGCGCTTTGCATATCGTTGGGACTACATGTGTTAAGTCCAATGCTGTTTAAAATCTCTTTAAAATCACAAATGATTTAACATAGAAGCAAGGTTATTGTGTAAGCAAAACAAATGACAAGATTTGTAAAAAGTCTCTTAACCTGTTACAGGGTACCTGGCTGGCTCAGTTGGTAGAGTGTACTACTCTTGTTCTCAGGGTCTTGTGTTCAACCCCACGTTGGGTGTAGAGCCTGCTTAAAAACCAAACCCAACCATATTACAAGAGGTATAAAATAATCCTAAGTTATTAAGCACCACTTCAGGGCGCCTGGGTGGTTCAGTCGGTTAAGCGTCTGCCTTCGGCTCAGGTCCTGATCTCAGGGTCCTGGGATTCAGCCTATGTCAGGCTCCCTACTCAACGGGGAACCTGCTTCTGCCTTCCCTCCTGCCCCCCACCCCCGCCTGTGTGCGCTCTCTCTCTCGCTTGCCCATTCTCTCTCTCTCAAATAAAATCTTATAAATCATCATTGTTTCATTTTCTTCTTAATCATGCATGAAAAGTGGCACGGAACAAAATGGAAATCTTCAGAGTTGAGGGATGAGGGAATATGTGATACATAATTTATAGGTAAATAATATGTATACAACATGCATAGGAATGATTTAGGACAGTGTTTATTCAGAAGCATTGCAAAGTGTGAGATCTTTCTTTCCATCCCTCAACCCCACAAAACAAATCAAAATGTTAACATTGGTTAAATTTGGGTGGTAGGTAAGGGTATCTTACATTCTTTCCCGTAATTTTCTGTATGTTTGAATTTTTTATAAAGTTTTGAATTAAAAAATAAAAAACAAACTAAGTGAATTTAGTGTTCCTGAATTGCCTTTTGGGAAGGGGGTACCAATTTATAATCCCAACAGTATACAAAAATGCCTGTGTCTTTTGCTTTCTCTCATGTGTTGTGCATTGCCAAATTGATAGGTAAAATATTGTAATTTATAATATTTTCTTGACTTAATTCTCAATTATTTGATGACTAGTGAGATTGAACACTTTTTTTCTCACATTTTGGCTAATTTTATATCTTTTATTAAAGCCTATTCAACGTGTTGCTTATTTTCTAATACAGTTATCATTTATTGATTTGTGAGAGCTCTTTGTATATTTAGGTGTTCAACCATTCTTTCAAATACACCATGAATTATTTTATTAGTTATTGTCTTTTTAAATAAGGATATTGAGGGTTGGGACTAAGGACAAAGCACATCTAACAATATGGAAATGACCTAGTTCCTGAAAAACTGCAAACTCAATAACATGGGGTTTTTCTCCCCCCAAAAAATCTTATGCTATGATACTTTATTTCTGTGCTTTTTCTTAACACAGTAACTTTTTGTTTCTGTGCCAGTTTTTCCTACGGTAAGAATAGAGTCTTTCTGCTATGATTGGAGATGCACAGGTGAGAGCTAAAATGCTCTAATCTGAAAGAGTATTGGATAGCTCTCTTTGGTCAGAAATACTTAAAAAATAACCCTTTTATCTCCCATATGCCATCTGAAGTCAGATATAGTGGGGTTTATGTTTTACTTTTTTGAAAAATTGAAGTAAAATTTATATACAGTAAACTGCAAAGATCTTAGGTGTTTAATTTGATGAGTTTTGAGAAGTGTCCCTTGGTTGTTTATATTAAAAAATTTTAGAATTTGGGGCACCCGGCTGGCTCAGTCAGAAGAGCATGTGACTCTTGATCTTAGGGCCATGAGTTTGAGCTGCACATTGGGTGTAGAGATTACTTAAATAAATAAATAAGCTTCAAAAGTTTTAGAATTTTATTATTTTCTTTAACAGTCTCAGCCTTCAGTTGTATACATAGACAATCTTTTCACATTCTGAGTAAGTAAATATTTATATATATTTTATGAGTTTGGTTTTTTTGTTATAAATACTGGTCAAACTTATTTTGGGGTATTACTCCATGGCAAAAATCTAATGTAATATTTTTCGTTATCCTCTTAAACCAGCTAATACATAAGCCAGTCTTTTCTCATTTATTTGAAAATGCCCTTTTACTGTATATTCTTGTATATGCTTGTATTTTTATGGGCATTCTATTTTTGCTTTGTATTATGTATCAGTATGTCGTCTTAAGTATCATAGTTTTATTATATGTGTTATTATCTGGTAGGGAAAGTGCTCCCTTATTACTCTACTTGAACAAAAATTCAGTGTTTATTCCTCCAGATGAACTTTTGACCAATTTGGCCAAGATTTCCCTGCCAAATAAAAATCCTGTTAATGTTGAGTTGTGATCTACTTTAGAATAATAAGGGGAGGGGGTCATTGATAACTTCAGAGAAGAGCTCTATTCCAGGAAAATGCTGTATCTATGATATGAGTGTTTTTATGTCCCCAGTAAAGTTTTATAGTTTTCTCCGTATGCTTGACATGTTTCTTCAGTTAATTCTTTATTATTTTATATTTCTTATTGCTGTCATGAATGAACCATTCCCCCCCCCCATATATTTTTAATTCCTACCTTCTTTGTAGACGACTGGCTTAATTACTTACAACAAAATCATTTCAATTTCTATCATTTCCACCAGATGGCAGTCTCGGGCATGTCCGTTTGTAAACCTGCCGAGGGCTCTGGTGACAAGAAAGACAGTGGCTGGCAGACCTTCCAAGCCCCTAAAGTACAAGGACATGAAGGTTTTTTTTTTTAAGCCTGAAAGAAAAATGAAGCCAACATTATGTAATTGTATTATGTATACTGCTATTAACCAGTACTCTTACAGCCCATTAGTGGAGGCAGAGAAATCTGTCCCTGCGCCTTTCAAAATCATATTTTTGTCTGTCCCTGTGATAAACACCTGTGGCTTTGGGGAGCATTTTGGTTTTATTCCTGGGATTCTCATGGTTAGAGGCAGGCTTTACTCTGTCACTATTGTTTCCTTTCTCTTAAAAGCACCATTTAAATGAGAAGTTACCAGGTTTCTAAATGTCTGTGTAAGAACATCTTTCTTTGATTCTGGTATTTGTGCTGTCCAGATCTGTTCTGAAATGAGATTCAGTGTTTATAGTCAACAGAAATTCCTGAAGTAAGTTTGTAACCCGTTTGTTCTACATGAATACAAATCTTAATAACCCACTTAGACACTTTTTAAACTAATTTAGATGATGTCAAAGACTTGTGTTTAAGAATATAGGAGGTAGTGGATATCTTGGCACACAAGAAACCAGCTCAAGTATTGTCTCGTAAATACTTTTCCCAGTGGCCAAAAAATTGTACTTTTGGACGACATGTCACCTAAGTAAGCTCCCTCTTGTGCCTTTTATCACAATTCCATTTGTTATCTTACTTTTATATAATAGAGTCATAAATGACTAGGACTGTAAGAGTATGTACATTCTCTTTCTGAGAGATTGTATTTCCACTCCAAGACCAAAAGGTGCAAGAAAGAATGATAAGAAAAAAGGAACCCTTGTTTCGTCCTTGAGCACAAAGACTGCCAAAGTTAATTCTTGCTTTTCCAAAGAACTGGTATAAATATTCTAGGAAGTATAGCAAAATTTTTGAAAGTAGATCATTTCTTTTAGGGAGAACCATGGAAAAGTTTCATGTTTTGATCTGTGGATAATGCTGTGATGTAGTATGTAGATCAGGTATTTCTTTAGTGTGTTCTATGGATTTATCCATATTTTGCATAATCTCTGAGAATGAATGTTGAAATGGATTTATGGCGATCTCAGCTACGCAGAAGTTATTTCTAGAGCTTAAGGATAGTGTACTAAGACATACCTTCGAGACAGAATTGGAATTGGTTAGAATTAGGTTTATACCATACCACACATTTCCAGATAGTTAGGGGTAACCTAAATTATATAAATAAAACCGTAAGTTAAATGTACCTAGAAGATTGGCTATGTAAAATTGTCTTTGAAAAGGAAGGAATTCCTTTCTAATAACCCATGTTTGTATTGTATGTATGATTTTTTTAGGGCTTTTTGCTTTTTTCAGGGTGGAACACGCATAACTGTAGCAGGTAAGATGGAATATTCCCTATTACAGTATAAAAGTTTACTACACTATATTAGTGAAGTATACCATGAAAAATTTATACAATGCTGATTGCTTTAACACTAGTGGGGGGAGGGGGGCTAAATAAATTACATTTTCTAGACTGATTTCACATAAAAAAAAGATACATATTTCAATTGTGTCTCAGTAAAACTAGGGGGAAACACCCCCACATTTGTCCATTTGAGAGATAAAAAGTGGCCCAAAAAAGCAAATTCTGAATGACTTGTAGTTTTATGTCCTCAGAAGTTTTAACATAATAGTTCTGAAGAATTGTCATTTGTGTGTTCTTCAAAAATAGAGTAATAAATTTTGTAGCTGGTCAGATCTTTAAGTATGTATTTATGGAATTCTCTAAGTTGGAAAAAACATTTAGCAGTGTTAGTCTGACTCCAGGAACCAGAATCTACTTTCATCTTGGGCAGCTCTACCTGTCCCAGTTGGTTCTTTGTTTCTTCCCTTCATTTGTCTTATTAGCTCGAGACCAAACATTTAACAGCAGCTACTGTGATGACACCCAGTCTCTGCTCTTTTCTGTCCCCAGTTCACTCATCCTATGTCACGGGCTTCAGTTGTCTTTACCATCCAAGACCCTTTTCTGCAAATGCTCTGGTTTTCTAGGGCTTTCTGAAAGTACACAACCCAAAGCTGAACATTTATAAGTAGCAGAGCTATCATTCCTTTGTCCTAGTTAACACTCTTCATCTGTTAGCACCCAAATGTTGGACTAGCTTTTCTGGCACCCATGTGATACCGTGTGAGTCTTCAGAGGTTGACGATTTTTTACTGCTGTTAAGTGATTCTCCCCCATCCTGCACTTGTAGAGTTGGTGTTTTGCTTAACCTAGTTTGCAGGACTTGCATTTCTTCCTATTAAGTTTTCTTGTGTTAGATTCATTAACCTTTTGAGATGTTTTTGGATTCATGTAAGATCTATTTGCTGTCTTTTTCTGATCACTCCAGAGTTTCGTATGTAAACCTTGTCCATTGAATGAAACAAGTCTGAGGATAAGGGCCTATAGTAGGCCTACAAAACTTTTCAGTAGGATACAAATTGACCAAGGTAACAGTCAACACCCATTAGGTAAGGATGCAGCGACTTACTGATGAGCCCATAGCTCTTCAAGGTTATAAAGGATATTGGGGGAGCTTACATTCCTTGTAGAAGTACTGCATTTCCCAAATGTTAGGGAGGCAACTGCCCCTAAAAGTTCATGAAGTCACGCCTGTTGATTCATAGAGATGTTCTCTTTCCTGAAGAATTAGAAAACACTGGAAGGATCTATTTTGGGGTCTTCCCTGAGATTAGTGTCAAGTTGCCATCATTTTTTTACCTTTCCCCAAAATTAGAATGACCTTTTCCCTTTCTGATGTTGTAGCCGGTCCCTACTCCACACTTGTCTCTAACGTAAAACAGTGGACCACTCAGAAATATTCTTAGATTTTCAGTATCATTTTCTTGTTTTCCATCAGCGTAAAATAGGAAAGAAAGTTCATATTGGCCCAATCACTTGTGTATAACTCGGCTAATTTAAGTTTTTACTTTGGCCCCATTCCTACACGTACATGCAGATTTCTGGTGGGGGTTTTGCTTATGGTGTTTCTTGTATCATTTATGCATTTTTGAAATTCTGAACTTGTTACATTTCTGTCTGTGAAAACTGGTGGTTTCTTGTTTTTGTTTATTTGGTTGTCTTACTCTTTTTAGGTACATCTCCCTTATTCATCCTGTATGTATGTGATTCTTAAAAAGCATTTTTAAAAATAACCCTAATACATTAAAAAAAAAAAAGTCAAAACTATCACCAGGCTGACAGCCTGAGGCCAAGTACAGCCTAGAGATGGGACAGAGCAGAACAGTGCAGTGTCCAAAAGGATGCTTACATTTCAGGCCACGGGTCAAGATGCAGGAAAGCGTTCTTACTAAATAAAATTAGTACCATTACATCGCAATCAGTATCTGATAGGTGCAAGTAAATGGTCTAGCAGCGGCCCTGGCTGGAGTCTTGCGTTCACTCTGGGGAAGGAGCACAGCGTGGCTTCTCCTCTTCTGTGGCAGAGGAACTCAGCTGCAGGCAGGTGACGGGAAAGGACTAGCTGTGACTTTGAGCCTTGAGTTGGGTCCTCTTGGAAGGGTGTCTCTGTGGCATGCTCCGCCGCAGGGTGCCTCTTCTCTCTTGCTTTCTTGACTTCCTCTGGGACCAGGGCTGTGAAAACAGCAAGACGTGATGGGAAGGAAGAGAACGGCCCACATGTAGACAGCTTTGTAAATCTCAGCAGCTCTATGGATCCTGTAGAATGTTGATCGAGATAGTGTATTTGTGTGCATATATGTATGTATGCTAATACTTCAATAAAAATTTATTTTTAAAAAAGGAACCTTGGCTGATCCAATAAACTTCATATATATTTATGTTTATATGAAGTTTTTGTCTGTTAATGGGAACATATGAAAATAGTTGAATAGATGGGTTGGATATGCTTTGGGTGGTATGAACTAAAATATAATATGTTTTGTGAAAAATTCACTTTCAGGGTATTGGGGAGAAAGCGGAGCCTTAAAAAGATAAGAAGCAGTATTGTAATCAGGGTGAGCAGAACTGCTACAATAAACAGAACCAAACCTGTAATGGTTCAAATACTAGAAGTTCATTTCTTGCTTATGCGCACACCAGAACAAGCGTTCCGGTGAGTGAGCCGCTCTTTCCCGCATGGTGATTCAAGTCTGAGACCTTTTCCATCTTGTGGCTACGTCACCCCCCAGAGTCTTGTGCTCCTCTGTATCCAGTCAGCAGAAGGGGAAAGTGAGCAAGGAAAAGGTTCCCCTACTTCTTAAAAGTCTCACTCAGTATGAGGAATTGATATCATAGAAGACATATTCTCTGATCACAAAGGAATTAGCTTAGAAATCAGTAACAGAAGAACAACACACTTCTAAATAATCCACATGCCAAAGAATAAGTTATAAGGAAAACTAGAAAATACCTTGAACAGAATGAAAATGAAAATCGCAACATACCAAAATGTTGGGGCTGCAGCTGAGGCGCAATGCTTAGTGGGAAACGCATAGCTTTAAACACTTATATGGAAAAGAATGTAAGCTCTCTAATTAACTTTAAATTTCCAACCTAAGCCGTAACTACAAGTGCAAGGAAGGAAGGATAGGAACAGAAGTCAGTGAACTATAAAAGAAAAAACGGAAAAATCAAATAAAAAACTAGCTCTTGAAAATATGAATAAAATTGATAAACTAATCGGAAAACAAAGACAGAAATTGTCAGTATGAGAAATGAAAGGGGAGAACACAAATCCTACAGACTTTTATAAAAAGGAATATTGTGAAGAATTTTATGCCTATGAAATGGAGGAAACATTTGAAAATGAATGTGATTCAACATTGAGAGGGAGAAAAGAAAACCATATTTCGTAACATTCAGAAAAAGCATTTGACAAAATTCAGAACCTATTTTCAACCTGACAAAGGGTAACTATGTAACACCTAAACTTAACATCTTTAATAGTAGAAGACTGATACTTTCCCTCTAATACATCCATCAAGGCAAGAATGTCTGCTCTCACCTCTTGTATTCATAGTGACTGGAGGTTTAAGCCAGTGCAACAAGACAAGAAACATACAGATTGGGGGGAAAGACACAAATTGGAAAGAAAGACACATAAAACTGTCTATTTGAAGATGATACGATTGTGTAAGTAGAAACTGATAAGGAACCTATAAATAATACAACTATTAAGTTAGCAAGGCCGCAGGATACAAGGTCAATGTACTAGAATATTTCTATTTTTATATACTAGGAGCAAGCAATTGAAAATTGAAATGAAAAAAAATTTACAATAGCATCAAAAAAAAAAATGAGGGATGGCTGACTGGCTCAGTTGATGGAGCATACGACTCTTGATCTCGGGGTTGTGAGCTTAAGCCCCATGATGAGCAGAGAGCTTACTTAAAAACAAACAAAAACAAAAACTCTTCAAGAGACACTGTTAAGAAAATGAATAGGCAAGCCTTAGGCAAAACCTAACTGATAAAGGACTCATGTTTATAATAAACAAACTTTTTAAATGGGTAAGATAATTGAAAAATTGAACAAGCATTACACCAAGGAAGATATAACAAGTGGCTAGTAAGCACCAATGCACAGTTATTAGTCATCAAGGAAATGAAAATTGTAATACCACTACAACTCACTAGAATGAAGTTACAAAGACTGGCATCACCCATTGTCAGCGATAATGGGAAGCAAATGGAAAGCTCACGCATTGCCCACGGGAAGGTAAAAAGGTCCAACCACTTTAGAGAACAGTTTGGCACATTATTTTAATTACTGTAGCTTCATAGTAATTCTTGCAATCAGGTAGTATGAATCTTCCAACTTAATCTTCCTCTATCAAAGTTGCTCTGACTGTTCTGGTTCAGACATTCCAACAAACCACCTCCCTTCTAAGCTTAAATATTATACTAACCCTATGACCCAGCAATTCCACTCCTCGGTATTTACCCAAGAGAAGTGAAAACATATGTCCACATGAAAATCTGTACAGGAATGTTTACAAGAGCTTCATTTATAATACTCCAAAATTGGAAACACCCCCAAATTCCATCAACTGGTGTAAAGGATAAACCACGTGCAAACAAATGAATGCTGTTTCACAGGAAAAGGAACAAACTACTAATTCATGCAACAACATGGGTGAATCTCAAAGGCATTCTGCTGAATGAAAGAAGACACAAAGGACTACATACGGTATGATTCCATTTATCTGAAGTTCAAGAAAAGGCAGAATTATAGTAACAACAGGTCAGTTGTTGCCAGGGGCTGGGGATTGACTGCAGAGGGACGTGGGGAGCTTTCTGGAATGATGGGACAGTTCTAGCTCATGATTGTGGTGGTGGTTACATAACTATACATTTGTCAAATCTCATCAAATTACACATCTAAAAGTGGTAAGTATGGATTCTATACCCCATTAATCTGACTAAAAGAAAAAAAATGTAGATTTGGATTTGTGGGTATTCACTGTAAAATTTTTTCAAATCTGTTTTATGTTCCATTATTTTCATTTTAACGTTTTTTAAAAGATACAAACTTGAGATGAAATTCACCAGAGAAGAATACTCCAAATTTTATGGCCCAAGTTATTGTTCACAAGGGGTCCCTCCAAGTGACCTGCTTAGGGTAAGTAGCAACAGGGATTTACTATTTATATATTTATATAGTAGTTATATATATATATATGAATGTACTTACTATCTGATTTTTACTTAATGGTTTTCTTAAGCAGCTACAGGAATGAGGGTAGGGTTGGAATGAGGAGGAAGCTTTGCTAAGTAATCCATTCATATGGGCCGAATTATATGATATCAATAAATATAAATTGATGAAGGCCATTTTATTGTATAATCCCATCTGCTGCCTCCCTCAACAATCAGGAAGACTTATCAATAGAACATAACTTTAAAATGTTGTAGGGGCTGGATGCCAGGGTGGCTCAGTGAGTTAAGCGTCTGCCTTCAGCTCAGGTCATGATCCCAGGGTCCTGTGATTGAGTCCCATGTTAGGCTCCTTGCTCAGCGGGGAGCCTGCTTCTCCCTCTGCCTCTGCCTGCTGCTCCCCCTGCTTGTGCTCATTCTCTCTCTCTGACAGATAGATAAATAAAATCTTAAAAAAAAAAAAAATTGTAGGGGCCCCTGTCTGGCTCAGTCAGTGGAACATGCTGCTCATTTCTCTGGGTCATGAGTTCAAGCTCCATGTTGGGCATAGAGTTTGTATTACAAAATAATAATAAGATAAAATGTTATAAAAGGAATTAAGATCATATTGAAATGCAGCTATAGAAGACACCATGGTTGATTTTCTCTCTTCAAGAGCCATGGTTTTGTAACAGTTTAGAGCGGTTCCTTTTGCATGGCATCCTCACTAATGCAACATTGCCAAAACCAAAACCCCTTTCATTTACTACTCACAAAAATAGTGTCTCCTTTGTAATTATGACTTTCATTTTGACATCTACTCGTGCTTAGGAAAGGGCAAGTCTACTTTTTAAGCAAAGACCAGCCTCGCTGGTACAAAGGTGTATAAGCTGAGGGTGGCATCCTTTGAAGCTTTTGGAGTGATAACTTTTCTTCTAATGATCCCTTCACGTATTTAGTTATTTGTCTTTATTCGATAGGTCTAGGGTTGACAAACTTTGTAAAGGGCCGGAGAGTAAATATTTTAGGCTTGAGGGCCACATGGTCTCTATCTCTCAGCTCCTCTGCTGTGGCAAGCAGCCACAGATAACAAACAAATGACAGCAGCTGTGTTTTAATAAAATTTTATTTACAAAAACATGTATTGGGCTGGGTTTGACCTGAGACAGAGTTTGCCAACCCTGGCTGTAGATGATAAATACCCCCCAAAATAAATCTGTTACTTGTTGTGACAAAGAGTTTATATAGTCAAATAACCTAGGTACTTCTATGAAGAAAACTAATACTGAATGATAACAGTGGGACTCGGGAAATGCTACCCCAAAATATGGCAGGTTGGCATATTGCATATTTCAAGCTGGAGGAATTTAAGAAATGGCATGTTCAGGAAAGACTTTCTGACCTTCCTCTGAAGCAGGTCATAAAACCCTTCCATGACAGTTGGTAAAGCATGCAACTTTCGATCTTGGGGTTGTGAGTTCAAGCCCCATGTTGGGTGTAGAGATTACCTAAAAAGTAAAGTAAGACCCTCTTGTGAGGGGCACCTGGGTGGCTCAGTCGTTAAGCATCTGCCTTTGGATCAGGTCATGATCCCAGGATCCTGGGATGGAGTCCCACACTGGGATCCTTGCTCAACGGGGAGTCTGCTTCTCCCTCTACCCCTCCCCCTGCACATGCTCTCTCTCTCAAATAAATAAATAAATAAAATCTTAAAAAAAAAAAAGACCCTCTTGTGAGAAGTGCTCCCCCACCCCACCATATCCGGAGAAAAGGAACATCCTTATCTTTGCAAGGCAAAGGGACACAGAGAGGAATCTGAATAAATTTTAGCTTTGCAAAAAAAAAAAAAAAAAAAAAAAAATATTTAGCTTTGCTAGGTTTCCCCGCATTACCACACTTCCCTCATATTCTTTGTCCTCTCATATCTTTCCACGACTTTCCACTCTTTATCAGACCTAGCATAAAAACACTCAGGCTTAGCTGTTTCTTCAGGTCTTCATTTCCTTATGAAGGCACCCCCATCACATAAAACTTATATTAAATATATATGTATGCTTTTCTCTTATTAATTTGTCTTTTGTTACAGGGGGTCTCAGTCGAAACCTTAAAAAGGTAGAGGAAAAAGATATTTTCCTCCCTTACAATAATGAAATGTTCGTCAGAAAGTCTCCAGATCAG